GTGCTATGCAAATCTATATGAAACAAACGACTAATGCAAAAAATGGGTTAAGTTCCTAAAGTTAACAAAAGTATACTATTGTGATGTTCACTAAGAGAAACAGTACAATGTTCACTATGAGAAACAAGAATTACTGTACAAGGATGCTTTTTCCACGAAGTACTCTTTATTCATGTTCCTGAACAGGTTCTTACAAGGGATCCCAACTTTATAAATCTTGTTACAATATTATATGCAAACGGGGTTATCTTTGCACCTTTTAACAGTATCAAAGGTACTACGCGTAACAATTAATATACCCAGTCTTGAGAAACTTACAGCTAACTTACGTCTAACTTAAATTAAAAGAAATTTAGAATATAGGAAAGAGAAGAAAAAAAAACAAGGGAAGTAGGGAGGAATTGAAATACCCAGAATTTCTTTGTTCAGAGCCCTCTCTTGGGTAGGACACCAACTTAACGTTTCGTCCTTTAGCTTTAACAATGTCATACTTATTCTTAGGTCTCAAAACTATTAAGTCTTTCAAGATGTCTTCAAGACTCTCTTGCCTGTTGATCTCTCTTTTTGATCTCTCTTGGTTCGCAATCTCTTCTCTCATTCTTCTCCGGTCTAGAGCTCTGCCTTACATATCCATCCTCTCCGAGATCTTGCCGAAAAGTGTCCTCATTACACCGGCCATTTTGCCCCAAGCACCTTCAACTCTTTTGTTCTATCGAACTTCCAAGGACGACTAATCCCATCCAAGGGCAATAACAATTCAGAGTGAAGATTCCAAGGGTTTAGAAAACAAGGGAAAGCAGAGTATTAAAATAAAATTAAAGACGTACAATATTATGGCTGACAGCCACACTATTCTTTTTCATTACTAAGAGAAATATGTTTATTAAAGCAATCGATAACTAACTAACAATCACAATTAAAATTAATGTACTATGGGTTAATATTAATTTTAGTTAAATGAGGGCATTTTCTTTTTACAAAGTATTGTCATGTTCTCAGCTCTTTTGTTGATCTTGATCAGAAATATCAGCAACATCTTCATTTTTTTTTTTATTTGTACCATAAAAATTTTTCATGGATAACAAAATAAAAATGTTATTAATCAAAAATTTGTTCTAGCAGGTCATGTTTGTTCAATCAAGGGCTGAGCAAATTTTTCCAGAATATGTTTGAATACTGAATTGTTTGAGTTGGAGAACAGTTTAAGTACCAAGATATTCCTGTATTTTGTCATTTTTATGAATGGTTACTTACCTACAGTTAAAGAAAAGATTAACAACATTTACCTAAAAACGTTTAAACAAACTTTACTAAATATGAAGATTAATCTATAAAAATGAAACACAGTGCAGTCTTAAAGATTAAAATCTGAAAGCAATGATAAAACCCAATTGATAGTTCAATTTTCTTCCTTGTCCTAGCTTTCCTATCAGTTTTCATTAAACCTGACGAAAGACACAAAACAAATCGAAAATTTTAATGTTCTAAAATCCATGGACAAATTTGAGATAACATACATGCTTACTTGAATAAAAAAATATTGAATAACTGGAAACCGTGTTGTATGGATTTCCCCAATTTTCAAACCATGGCAGAGTGAAACCATGTTGTAGAAAGAATAGCTATATATGCTTTTACTTTCATTATGTAGACTCAAGCTACTGTTACTTATTTCTATAATTAATTTATAGTTAACTGGCCTAGAACTAACAGGAAGAATAAAAACATTTACAATTTTTCAGCCCCATTGCCCCAATGATTTAATCATGACTATAGAACTAGGACCTGTATTTATCAGCTGCAGCTCTTCTGTTCCATTTAATATCAAGAACTTATAGTCAGCCTAAATAAACAAGATAATTCACGAGTATTTAAATAAAATTAATAGAAAAAAACCTTAAATTGAGTAAAAAAAACTTTTTTCCCACATAAATTTATAAATGGAAATATTATTACAGTATATTTGACAGATTTTTTTCTTCAGTTCCATTTCAAGGATGCTTTCATGGGCCCTGTGCACTATTGCATCTGCCTAGTTAAACATTGTAGGTAAGTACTGAAGGTGAAATCTTTATGAAGAAACTAGGAGACCACGGTCATAATCATGGCAACTGCTTTCCATTATGATGACCACCTTTGAAGCTCTGTAAACCTGGAAACCATTTTAGTCATGAGATCACCACTTGCACTCTACTGATTGTGTGACATAACCACAGTAAATTGGTTAAGTAACAAGCAGCTATATCCCATCTTCACTCAACAAGGTTGGGTCAGCCCAAATATAGGAACAGAGATGTGAAAATGTATTTGGGGACTCAGATGCACCTGGCAGAGGCAATGATGATATTTTAAAATGTTTCAACACATTAAATCCAACTTGTTTTACATATTCATATGTTATACCTGCAGGAGTATTGTATATGTACGGTACTTATATAAAAGAAAAAGAAGCTCTTTTGTTATTAGATTTTATTTCCAAAAATCTAATAACAACAGTGATATTTTTATTACAATATATCAAATTTAATAGGTTGATGTAGACTTCCTAGAGTCAAACCTAACATATTTTTGTTTACATTCTGGTCACTTGCAATTTCATCCTAAAACTCATTGCATTGTAAATCAGTTTTGTTTTATAATTAGCATTGCTTTCACGACTTCAATATTTAATTTTGATTTACCTTTTGACCACAGAAATTTACAAGTAAAAACATTCTTTCTACAGAAGTTATAGTTTCTGATAAACAAAAGTATTAGGTTGTTCAGAAAGTAATTTCGATTTTTTTACCACTAGACAGATTAGTCGTATTTTTCCCGCCATTTTCATTCTAAATCATATTATCTATATATATTTTGACAGCTGGCATTTTAAGGCTTATTTGTAAAAAGTTTTGTTTGATTTTGTGCAGTTGTTTATTTTTTGTGTCCCATCAAACATGGAAGATCAAAAGCATCATTTTCGGCATATTTTGCTTTTTTATTACCAAAAAAATAAGAATGCTGTTCAAGCAATAAAAAAATTGTGTGACGTGTATGGGGAAGATGTATTGACAGAACAACAGTGTGAAAACTGGTTTACAAAATTTCGTTCTGGCAATTTCAATATTGAAGATGTTCCACGTTCTGGATGGCCAGTTGAAGCCAATGAAAACAAAATAAAAGTTACTGAATGAAGCAAACTACCAAATAACAACATGTGAAATCACTAAGAGATTAAATCTGTCAAATTGAACTGCTTATGATTACTTGAAATAAATTGGTTTCATTTTGAAGCTTGATATATGAGTTCCACATGTTCTTAAGGAGAGATGCTATCTTTGGTGGGATTTTAAGGAAATTTTTTTTTTGGAGCTTTTACTAGACAATTTAACAATTGATTCGAAAGTGTACTGCCATTGAGTAAACAAATTGAGTAATATCATCAAACAGAAAAGGTGGCCAGAATTGATCAACAAAACAGGTGTAGTGTTTTACCACAATAATGTCAAATTTCACACAAGTTTGGTAACTCCTCAGAAACTGTTATAACTTAGATGGGACATGCTATCCCACCAACCATACTTGTCAGATCGAGCACACTCAGATTATTATGTGTTCCGGTCTATACAATTTTTTTTAACTGTAAGACATTTACTTGAAATGAGAATGTCAAAAATCACTTGGATCAGTTTTTTGTAAGCAACGATAAAAACTTTTATGAATGTGAAATCACGCTACTACCAGAAATGATGACAACAGGTATTTGATCAAAATGGTTGATATATAATTCAATAAAATATTTATTTATTATAAAAATATTGTGTTTTTTTCCACGGGAAAAACAAAATTACTTTCCGACAACCCAATAATTTTGTCAAATTATTAAAATCTTGGAATTCAAGATACTTTTTGGCATTTCATTAAACATATAACCCATCTGTCAGCTACATTCATTTTTCTTCATGTTATTAACACCATTGCCAAATTTCATCTGTTTCTGTTTTTGTAATATGTTCCTTAACTTTGATGAACCCATATCCAAGCTATATTTTATGTCATTTCTTTCTAGTAGCATCTATTCAAATCTATAACACTTAACACAGAATACACATTTTCTAACAAATTACCAATTCAGAAAACAATACACAAGTATATTTAATATATACAAGAGAGATAAGATTTTTGATTTTCAAAACATGGGACAAAAGCAAAAATGGATGGGTAAGATGTAAACACCAAATGAAGATTTGCCACCCTGCTAGAGTTATAAACCTCCCCCATATGAGCAAAAAAGTCAACGGAAGCACACCGTTCGGGTAAACGCGACCCTTTGTCTCCAAAGGTCAGTTTTCACCGCAAACCAGCATACTTCCCATTCTCCACACTCAGTCATGCACTTTGGTGCTCGCACCTCAGTGCCTGCACGGAGGCAACACCCCCCACACCCCCAAAACTATATAACGTCCCGTATTCCACCAACAATTACGTGGGCTAAACAGTCAAGCACAATATTCTTAGTGGAACAACGCAACTCCCAATCGTGCACAACCTGCAAGCGGGCAGATTTCGGGGAGCCATATCTGGCAAAGGGTCACACGTAGAGGTGCGGTCCTTTGACTTTTTTGTTCCTTTGGGTACGGTCTATAACTCTGACAAGATCCCACTATCTCATTCAGGGATGTAATTGTATCAATGGATGGACGACAGAGCAAAACAAGTATAGTCAGTCTACTTAACGCCGAACTGATTTTCTGCATCGAAAGGTTACGTAAGTAAAAATAGAAACTTGATGTCAATATACTGTTAACAGGAAAATATTCTTCATGCTTAATAAAACATGTAATACAAAGGAATCTTAAATGTATAAATACTTTTAAAAAAGCATTAAATGTTAATCTATTAATTAAAGAATAAAAATTTTAATTAATTAGAAGGACAGAAACATTAGTAAACATTTGAAAATTTCATAGCGTTTATCGCCACCTCGCGGCTTTAAAAGTTAAAAGTAAAAAATAAAATACCGTAATATATTTTCCATCGACTTCTATATTTTTGCTGCAATTTTCAATATGAAGTGTTACATTTGAATATTCTCTGAAAATATCTTCTTTGAAACGATAAAATATAGAAGATTTACCAACATTAAAATCACCCAATAATATCAACTTATAAATTAAAGACCCAGACACAGCCATCATAACAAATAATATTTTTAAATCGTGCCGCTAGGAGCGCTACGGTAATAAATGTTTTGACAGCTGTTTTATAAATTATTATAATTTTTATTTTAGAAAATAATATATTATTTTATAATATCCAAAATAATATTTTTGTTTATAATAACATATTGTTTGTTTTAATAAAAATATTGACTAATATTCCGTTTATGATATTGACTTACGATAGAAAAATATCGATGGGGAAAATTTAATAAAATTCAAATAATATCTGAACGATAAATACATATACAAATAATTTATTCTATTCGTGAAAAAACTTAGCTTCTAATTATCATAAACATTTTTCCGCCAAGAAAGAAAAAAAATGGAAACGGCGGCACTGAAAATCAATGAATCCGTCTCGAAATTTTTACCGTGAATAATTTATTTTGGGAAAAAGTTGGCGAATCCTATGACATACAAGCGAAATGAGGATATACAAAAAGGAAGTGAGGCCCATAGTACACAAATTAGGGCTCTTGACCGTCTTTTTTTTTTTTTTTTAGAGAGAATAGTCCGCCTTTTTAAGGTGCAGCCTCGAGCGGTCAAGGTGGCAGCCTACTGCTCTGGGGAACCCGGGCTCAAATCCGAACGGGTCGTAAAATCCCCAGGAATTTTTCGGGGGTGGTCCGTTCGGATATGTCGGGCCCCGTCCCTCACCACTCGGCAGCCCCATTGTGGGCCTGGCCGAACCCATAATGGGCTTGCAAAAAGAGGCCCTCTTAGTGTCCACAGGGCGGAAAGAGTTTAAAAAAAAAAGGTGCAGTCTCGTGTCTACTGTGCCCGCTTTTCTACCGACGATTCAAATCATCAATGTTTAAAAGCGTCGTATAATAAAATATTTTGTATTTTTCTTCCGATATGCCAATGTATCGCGACTAGGGATTGCAATCCAGCAACGTTTTCAATCCAGCTGGATTTTTGTTGGATCAACATCATTCCAGCTGGATCCAACGCGGATGTATTTTTGGTGCAATAAAGTGTTATCTCTCTATCTATTAAGCAATTTATGGTTTTTTTTTTTAAGAAATAAAACATTTTAAGAAACTTTTATTTAGACTGGTCACTATAAATCAGTAAAACTTCTTACACATTTAGTAGTAAAGTTAACTTTGGTTTGGTTTAACACTTGAGATAGAGATAATTAACTTTAAATGTTTAGTTAGATTATAATTATACAGTCGACCCCCCTATAAGATCATAGATACGTTCCATTCTTTAGGAATCTGATTTCTTACCAGTCCTTCCAATCACAGTCCGACACGTGTCAAGTTTACGGACTACGGCTGATTGAAAGGTTTTCTTCCATAAAATTAATCGATTCTTTACTAATCCGACTCAACATTTGCAAAATACGTATATTTTTTTGGAAATAATCCGTATAAACTACGCTATAAACAAAAAATTGTAGGATTACTTACCGAGTGTGCACCATTCGACATCGCCATTGCTCAAGCTTGTTTTCGTCGCGGAACAGCTCAGCAAACAGCGGCCGATTTCTAATAACATATTTTTCTGCGAAAACTTCGATTGAACTATGGAGACATCATTAATATAAATAATTTTAATCGCCGCTGAATAAGAAATGTTTCTTTCACAAGAAATGTATAAAATTACAGTACAGTAGATCCCCCTATAAGACGGTAGATACGTTCCGTTCTTTATGAATCAATTTTGTAGGAATCATAGTTTATGGACTACGGCTGTTTGAAAGGTTTTCTTTCATAAAATTAATCGATTCTAGACTAATTCGACTCAACATTTCCAAAATACGTATATTTTTTTGAAAATAATCCGTATAAACTACGTTATAAACAAAAAATTGTAGGATTGCTTACCGAGTGTG